GCTTGGAATGACCGGAGGAGGAGATTTGGAGCTGAGCTTTCAGGAGTGACCAACTGTCTCCACACAACTGGCCTAAAAAGGAGTCTGTATTTCTAGCACAGCCAGGAACCTGGGGACTCAGCCCACCGCCGTCTCAGAGGCTGGCCCAGGGCCACCCATCCCCGCTGGACGCAGGGTCAGAATGCAGCTGCCACAACCATGGGCTCCGGGACCTCGTGGCTTAACCCAGCAGTTGAAGTGGATACTGCCTTTGCCCTGGGACCTTGGGTCCCCCAGTGACCTCCACGTTTGCATCTTTTAAATAACCTTATTTAGATTTCGAATTCTCTCTTACTAATCCAGGTTAAATTTTAAAATCACCCAACCCCTAAGGCTCCACTCAGCTGCTCTGCCCACCCCAGCCCGAAAGAGAAGCATTTTCCTTCCCTCCCTCACTCCCTTGCTGCTGCCCCCAGCTCAACCTCTGAGTTTTGCAGATGCACCGGGAATGTTTAGTTCCAATCTCAGGCCATTTATTAGGATATTTTCTCTTCTTTTTGTTTTTTGAGAGAGTCTCGCTCTGTCGCCCAGGCTGGAGTGCAGTAGTGCAATCTCGGCTCACAGCAACCTCTGCCTCCTGGGTTCAAGAGATTCTCCTGCCTCAGCCTCCCGAGTAGCTGAGATTACAGGTGTCCGCCACCACGCCTGGCTAACTTTTGTTTTTTTGGTAGAGACAGGGTTTCACCACGTTGGCCGGGCTGGTCTTGAACTCCTGACCTCAGGTGGTCCACCACCTTGGCCTCTCAGAGTGTTGGGATTACAGGTATGAGCCACTGCCCCGGCCATGCATTTTCTGTTGTAGTATGTTTCCCGCCTTTCAATCATTACCCTCTATTTCTCAGGCACACTGTCATCCATGGAAACGTAACTCAAACACGCTTTGGCGCTGGCTGCCATTTCTTGTATTCTGTCTTCCACTCTTTTGAGACTTTTGTTCCAATTTGATTTTCAGCTTGTTAGAGGGTTTTCTGATCTGCTTCCCTTGGTTTCTTTTCCTGGTCTGCTGCCTTTTCTCACTAGTTGGCAAATTGGTTCTCTCCCTTCTCACTTCCAGGGATGCAAATGAGAAGTCTGCCTCTCTGCCGTCTCGGGGCCCTTTCTGGCTGGAAGCTTCAAAGGCTTCTCTTTATCTGTGGAGCTCAGACGCCTCACCAGGTGCGTAATTTTTATTCATCACGGCTGCCTGGAATCCTTTCAGATCGCAAGATCCACGTCTCTCGTCTACTCTATTATTTCTTAAATTACTACATCTCCTTTTGTTCCTTTCTCCTCTTTTAGAAACGCTATGACTTACCATTTAGGTCCTAGATCTGACTCTCCAGCCTCTTGCCTTTCGATTCGTGCCTCCGTTTCCCTATGTCTGTGTCCGACGTCATGAGCAAGCATTTCTGTCTCATCTGCCAGAACGCGGCTTTTGTTCTCTAGCGGCTCTGTCCTCCCCTCACGTCCTGGACTGATTTTTAATTCTGGAAATCATGTGTGTGCTGAGCTCTTGGAAGCCTTCTTGCTGTGTGTCACGTTCAGAGGAGGCCCTGGTCCAGCCAGGAGGTTGCTTTTCCCACCTGTGCAAAGCAACGGTTTCCTTGGCACTTATGCAGGCCGAGGGGCAGGAGGCTGACAGCTGGCTCAAACCTGCGGGGAGTAGAAGACAAGGGCAGGGGCAACCCACCCGGCCACACTGGGACCCTTCGTCGAGATGTGCCTCGGGAGAGCAGTTTGTACTCTCAGGGCTTGGCTGCAGGAGCAGAGGGCCAGTGGCAAAAACTATTCGGACCCCAAAGAAGCCATGACCCCAACGCCCATATCAGATGTGGCTAAGTTGGTTGATACAGAAGGCGCTGAGGGGTGCAGAGAACAAAGAAAAGCTTTGCTAAGAGAGGAAGACTAGGGCCCAGTCAAGGAGTGGGTCCTTTGTGTGGGAGGAAGAGCCAAATGGAGATGTGGTTACCCTCGGGGAACCATGGCAAGGACAGCACTCAGTGTTCACTAGACTTGACTCATTTTCCTCCCTCCCTCCCTCCCTTCCTCCATCCCTCCCTCCCTCCTTCCCTCCCTTTCTTCCTCCCTCCCTCCCTCCCTCCCTTTTTTCCTTCCTCCTTCCCCTCCCTCCCTCCTTTTCTTCCTTCCTTCCCTCCCTCCCTCCCTTCCTTCCTTCCTTCTTCCTTTCTTCCTTTCTTCCTTTCCTCTCTCTATTTCTTTCTTTTTTTGATTGTTGTGTTTTTTGAGACAGGGTCTCTCTCTGTCGCCGAAGCTGGAGTGCAGCGGCATGATCTTGGTTCACTACGGCCTCAAATTCCTGGGCTCAAGCAGTCCTCCCACCTCAGCCTCCCGAGTGCGTAGGACTACAGGTGCACTCCACCATGCCTGGCTAATCTTTTGATTTTTTAAAAATAGAGGTAAGGTCTTGCTATGTTTTGTGACAAGTCACAGCACACATGCTGAGGATGGCAGGGGTCCACCATGGAGGGATCTCAGGAGGGATCTCTTGCAATGCAGGAGAACTGCCAGGGAGAAGCACCCAGCCGAGGACGTTCACACTGGACTTGCATGAGTGAGAGATAAACTTGTGTTAAGCTACAGATTTGGAGCGTGCTTGTTATAGCAGCTAACCTATGCAGACGAATATATAACCTATGCCGGAAGCCCCCGGCAGACCTGCCTAGCCAGCTCATTGACGGGAACTGGGTGCATGCTCTCCCCTGAGTCAATGGCAGGTGGGATTGATATCCAGACTCCATCAGGGTCCGCCAGCAGGAAGAAGGTGGGAATTGATTCGGGGTAGGCAACCACCAGCAGCTGCTGTATTAGAGGCCAAACAGCTTTCTACACATTTATTGGTGAATTCCACGCTTGTTTTGTCAATTGCCTCTTCGTCCTTTGCCTATTTGTCAACCATGTTTGGGGTATCACTGACTTCTGCTATGGAAGCCGAAGATGCCAGGGGCCCCTTTCCCAGCCTCCCCTGCAGGCTGCTGGCCTGCGATTGAGGATCTGCTGTTCAGAGGTGCTTGCCTCAGAAACGGGCTTGAAAGCTAATGACCAGAGGTAGCAGAAGCCGTGCAGACTTGATTCGAGAGAGTGACAGCAATGGCAGCAGATCCATGCAGTGCCCAGGACCTAGTAAAAAGGTGGTCATGGTGTTTTTTTTTTGAGATGGAGTTTTGCTCTTGTTACCCAGGCTGGAGTGCAATGACAGGATCTTGGCTCACCACAACCTCTGCCTCCTGGGTTCAAGTGATTCTCCTGCCCCAGCCTCCAGAGCAGCTGGGATTACAGGCGCCTACCACCACACCCGGCTAATTTTTGTATTTTTAGTAGAGATGGGGTTTCACCATGTTGGCCAGGCTGGTCTCAAACTCCAGACCTCAGGTGATCTGCCCCCACTCAGCCTCCCAAAGTGCTGGGATTAGAGGCGTGAGCCACCGCGCCTTGCTGATTTTTTCTTTTCTTTATGAGTGTGGAAATGCACTAGGTGAACCTGTTTTTGGGACGCACATGATAATTGGATACATTCATGTAATTCAATCAGGGTAATGGGATGTCCATCATCTTAAATGTTTATCTTTTCTTTATGCTAGAAACATTAGGATTATTTTTTTCTAGCACTTTTGAAATGCACAATCGATTGTCCCCCTACTGATCTATTGAACAGCAGATGTTATTTCTTCTGTCTAGTGCGTATTTGGACCCATTCATCAACCCTTCCTCATCCCCTCCCTTCCCCCTCCCTTCCCGGCTTCTGGTAGGCAGGTTGCTGTTGCAAATTACGAATTGAAGAAACTGGTGTTTTGTCCTGTGGCTGCCTGCAGTCTGCGTTTTGCTGGTCAACTCCCCTCAGCTTGGTTGAGCAGGCTCCCTGGTCCCTGTATTTCTTGTAATTTGATAGTAGGCAAACTTTTTCCCTAAAGAGCCAGTGAGTAAATATTTTAGGCCTTGTGGGCCATAACAGTCTCTGTGGCAATTCCTCAACTCTGCTGTCACAGTGAGACCGCAGCCAGAGACAACACGTAAGCAGCAGAGCAGGGCTGCATTCCCACAGCGCAGGATCTGGATCCCAGTTTGCAGAGCTGAGTCAAGGGTGGATCAGGCCCAGGTCTGATGCGGCATTTCACTGGGGATGCCACCGCCTTCCACACCGAGAAACCTAACGTCCCATTGTTCCCAACTGCATTTGAACTAAAAAAATACAAAAAGAGGTCAAAACTGAGAGTGCAGCTCCCTCAAGATCCCCCCACATTTTGGGGAAGTGTGTAAATGGAGAAGTGAAAGCTCCGTCTTCTGCCCGTTCCCCAGGAGACAGCCTGTATTAACAGCCAGGTCAGTTTCCTCCAGACTGTTAACATCTGTGTGAGAGCACATGTCTACACTGTGTGGAGCCCGAATGTCTACACTACGTGGAGCCCGCCTGCTTCCTGCCCCGCAGGCGTGTCTGCTGCGGGAAGGCTGCAGTTCTGACCTTCCCCCGCCCCCTCTGGGTGACAGGTGGCTCAGTTCTCCTTTCTGCCATGCTCAAGACCAGGTGGAGGGAGCGGGTAAATGTCACCACGCCCCTGCCTGCCACTGTGGAGAGGGGAGAACTTCGCTCCTTTTATGAATTTTTTTCTTACCCCTTTTCTTGGAATAAAGCAAACACCAGACCCAAACGGATTTTAACTGACACTTTCCCAAGGTCTGGGAGAAGGCAGAGACTGGACGTAGTATGTCCTGCCTGAGCCGATCACCTGCTTACGAGGGCGGAGGCAGGCTGGGGCGGGGCTCCTGTGCCCCGGAAGCACCGTGGCTCCTCACTCTCCCTTTATATATCCTCTGCTGTCCAGTGCCTGGGCCCTGGGCCCTCCCTGGGACACCATCCGGCCCTGCCTCAGTCCTGGCCCTCCAGTCCCTTTGGGGACTTACCCCTGGCACCCACTAGATGGCGCTCCTGGCCACTCAGTTTCCCTCTGCCTTGCTTTGGGTGGTGCTGGGTGATGGGAGCTCTGGCCCCTGCTTGGCTGATTTGCAGGTGGGCATGCAGGGTGAGCCTGGTGCACGGGACAGGAGGTGGGGAGTTGAGAGCTGGAGTCAGGTGCCACTCACGCCGAGATGATGAGGTGTTAACCCCAAACTCTGGCTCCCATTGGGCTGAGGCTTTAAGAAAACAGAGGCAGTGAGTCTGGCGTCCCGAAGAGCCTTGCCGAGCTGGGCATGGAGAACGGGCCTCCTGGACGGTCACCTGCCCAGCTGCCAATGACGCCGGAGAGCTGGAGCTGGGACTTGGAGGATCTTCAGAGAGGCAGGAGGGTGGTCTCAACGTGCTCCCACCCCGACCCCAAGCCCATGTGGAGATGGCCAACAGAGCCTCTTGGAGAGCTGGATTTGCGTCCCCTGCAGCTTGGGGTTGCTGATGGTGACTGACAGGCCTCAGAGATAGGGACAGGATGATTGATGAGTGACAGCCTGAAGGAGCTGAGCACAGCGTGGCTGGCCTGGCAGCTGCTGACCCCACCCCACTTCCTGGCTCTCTGCCTCCTTCTCTGGAGAAGTACCCTCAGCCAATGGAGCCACAACACCCGGTAGGTTCAGGGGATACCACAGCCCATTGCTGACACGGGAGTACAAAAGGCTGTTCCCTCGCCTGCCTCTAGATGGGGATACCTCTGGGGTACAATCAGTGCCTCGGGGGCCCCCTGCAGATCTGGCCGGAGATGCATTTACCCTGGGACCACGGCTTTACCAAGGCCCTTCTCCGTCACGTCCTCTGCCCTTACGTCCTGGGGGGCTTGTCCTGAGGAGCCCTCCTCTAGTAAATCCCTGTCTTGGGCTCTGCTTTCAGACAACTGAAGGCGGGGAGCATCAGGAGGGGCCCCAGGGAGCTGGCCCCAAGGTCAGGATGCTGTGGGACGATGCCTTGCTGGCCACTGTGACTGGAGCCCCTTGAGGGTGGCCCCTGGCATGAGGTGGCAGAGCAGCTGCTCAGGCCTCCACCTGTGGTCACCTGGGACAGGACTCAGGTGGATAGGGATGCCCAGCTTGTGCAAGATCCCTCGTGTGGAGAGATAGATGGGAAAATAGCCACGGGAAGGATGTGGAGTGGGGAGGCTGTCGCTCAACACTACTGACACTCAGAGGAGGGACAATGACAAGTTCAGGGCTGTAGATCACCAATCTAAAGCAAAGACAGGTTTCCTTGGCAGAATTTAAGGAAATGCTTCTCTTCTATAGCCAGAGGTCGGAAGGCTGAAGACAAGGTGCAGGCCCTCAAAGAAGGCCAGACTTCTAGCCCAGGAAGTTCCTTCTCCAAAGTCAGGGCCCCGAGAGGGAGGTGGGGTCCCTGCTATCTGAGATGAACTACCTGGGGAGACACTCTTGAGACCTTGACCCCCAGATTCTCCTGTACCTCCGGGCCTGAAGCAGTGGCCCATTGCCTTGGTTGGAAGACAGAGGTCCTCTCTTACATAAAGACCACGCAGAAACTAAGGGAAGGTACCTTAGGAGACAAGGTGTTCCCCTCTTCAGCGTCTGCCCCCACCTCCCCTCCTGACCACCAGGCTCAAAGCTGGGATCACATCTCAGCATGACCTATCTATCCCAGGACGTGCTTGGCATGCCAGGTATCGAGAGGGGTGAACAAGCAGAGGAGTGGTGGGAGAAGCCAGCAGGGACCGGCAGGGTCTGGAGAATATTCTTAGATGTAGACTCTGAACGTTCTAGCTCAAGGGAGGCTGGTAGAAGCTGGAGACTGGAGAGTTGGTTAGTACAGAAACACCAACCCCTAGAAAGGCCCTGGGAAGATGATTCTAGTATGTTGTGTGGAACGGCTTTTTTTTTGAGACAGGGTCTCTCTCTGTCGCCCAGGCTGGAGTGCAGTGCTATGATCTGAGCTCTGCAATCTCCACTTCCCAGGTTCAAGCGATCCCCCTGTCTCAGCCTCCCCAGTACCTGGTATTACAGGCATGCCCCACCAGGCCCAGCTAATGTAGTTTTTTTTTGTTTGTTTGTTTTTTTAGTAGAAATGGGGTTTTGCCATGTTGGCCAGGCTGGTCTCGAACTCCTGACCTAAAGTGATCTGCCCATCTTGGCCTCCCAAAGTGCTGGGATTACAGGTGTGAGCCACAGTGCCTGGCGCTTGGGGAGGGTTCTTGAGAGCTTAGAAAAAGTGATAGTGCATAGACAATGAAGTGGAGATGCCAGAGCAGCCCTGGAGCAAAGTCTCAGGATGGCTCCTCTGTTGTAGGTTGTGCAGGAAAACAGCACAAGAGCGAGGCCATCTCAAAACTGCCGTGATGACGCACGTTTCACCCCACATACCAAGGTGCTCTGCAGTCAGTTCTTTAAACAATGCCTGTAGCTTACATAACCCCTTGTAAAGATGCTCAGCTAAACCCCTCCCCAGGTGTTTATGAGTTTTGCAAGAAAGTCTGAGACGTGGCCGCCTGCACGTGTTTCACCCCGAAAGCTTGCTGCATGCAAATACTTTCTGCAGGGCAGATGTGGGGGTCCACCGTTTTGTGGCTGCCCGGGACATGGCTTCGTTCCTAAGTCCCTATTAAATATTTCTTTACGAGAAACTGGATTTGTCAGCCTCTTTCTTCAGCCTCTTGGCTCCCTCGGCCTTTGCAGGTAGGTTTGTACCGACCTGCCCACCATGAAACAGGCTGGAGAACCCACCAGCTGGCCGGGTTCTTTGGGAGGTGCCAGCTCTTTGCCGAAACGATAAGGTCTGAGCCATTGAGGGGACGTCGGCGTTGCTGCGCAGCCGGCGGGGGTCGTGCTCGGTGGCCTGGGCCTGATGGGCAGTGCAGCCATGATCTGAGCTCTCCCATAGCCACAGAGACAACTGGATTCCTGAGTAGCAGAGGTCAAAGGGCAGCACTTAACTGTCTGTCACCAGTAAGATGTCAAGAGCACCGGCATGGACAGCAGCATAGGGACAGCCACGGGGGAGCCTGCCTTGCTGGGCCCTGTGGAGATGGCTCACAGGGCATGGCATTTCCAGGGGCAAGGTATCTAGGCAGCCAGCAAGGGTTTTATTCAGCATATGGAATGACAAGCCACCAAGAATGGATGGGCAGAAGGCCAAGGCCGGACGCCCCCACAGAAAATAATGACCTGTGCTCAGTTTCCAAACCTGAACTTGTTGTCAGACTCAGAATCCATGAGCAGAGGAGGGGCGGGTCCCCGAGGAAGGACACCGCAGCCACGCCATCCCCCGGCCCTTCCCTGTGGGGACTGTATTGGTTTCCTGGGGCCGCTGGGAAGACCTGCCCCACACCGGGCGGCTCAAACGACAGAAACGCGTTGTCCCACAGCTCTGGGGGCTGGACGTCCAGAATCGAGGCTTTCAGCAGGGCTGGCCCCCTCCCAGGGCCTGAGGGGCATCTTCGCTGCCTCTCCTCTAGCTCCTGGGGTTGCTGGAAGTCTTGGGTGCTCCCTGGTTTAGAGATGTCTCACCCTAACCTCTGCCTTCATCATCCCGTGATGTTCTGCCCGTGTGCTTGCTTGTCTCTCTGTCCAAATTCATCCCTGGCCCCGCCCACTTGTTTTTGAGACAGGATCTCGCTCTGGCTACACTGCAGGCTGGAGTGCAGCGGCGCGGTCAGGGCTTACTGTGGCTTTGACCTCCTGGGCTCAAGTGATCCTCCTGTCTTAGCCTCCTGAGTAGCTGGACCACAGATGTGCACCACCACGACAGCCTAATTTTTAAAATTTTTTAGACATGGGGTCTTGCTGTGTTGCCCAGGCTGGTCTCAAACTCCTGGCCTCAAGTGGTCCTCCAGCCTTAAATTTCCCCTTTGTATAAGGACATGGTCATGATGAATTAGGGCCTGTTCTAATAACCTCATCTTAGCTTGATCTTCTGCAAAGATCTATTTCCAGGTAACGTCTTATTCACGGGTCCTGGGGATCAGGACTTCCCCAGGACCCGGGGAATGGTGAGGTGTGAGCCATCCCGTAGCAAGGAACTGAGCCGTTTTCTCTAGCAGCTACACCCGGGGAGCTACACCCTGGGGTGCTACACCCTGGGGACCTACACCCTGGGGAGCTACACCCGGGGAGCTACACCCTGGGGAGAGGGCACGGTCAGCTCTGGTCCTGTGGGAATTGGTGGATGGAGTTGGAAAAGCAGAGGATTTATGGAGGTAAAGGAGGGAGCAGGAGGAGGCTGGGGACTTTCAGGCTGTGAGGAGAGTCTGAAACCTGGGAGAGGAGATGGAGGAGGAAGGAGGATTGGGTAGGTGAAGCCTCGGAGGTGCGGCTCGGAGGGAGTCTGGCTGGCCCAGCAGGGGCTCTGGAAGGAAGATTGCTCAAAGAGGAGTCCCAGGGGAAGGAGTGTCAGGGCCTACAACCCCCCGCTGCATGTAGTCACGGCAGGGAGCTGCCTGGGGCAGCCTGAACTTGGCTCAAAGACTGTCACCCATTGTGGAGGCTATCAGCCCACTGCCCTGTGGCAAGGGGGTGCTATGTGGCATCTCCAGAGCTGCCACAAGGGAGTTTCCCAGATCTTTCAGGGACTGTTGGATGTAGGGTCCAGATTGACATTGACACCCAGGGACCCAAAGGCCACCACGTTAACAGTAACGATGTAACAGGAACCAGGTGGTAAATGGAGTCCGAGCCTAGGTCCATCTCAGCATAGGCCTCCGGTGTGTCCAGAGACATACCACGTGGTCATTCCCCTGGCTCCTGAATGTGCAAACGGAGTAGAAATTCTTGGCAGGTGGTAGAATCTTCATGTTGGTTCCTTGACCTCTAGAGTGTAAGCCGTGGCGTTAGGTCAAACAGAAGTCCCTGAATCTGCCTTTCTCTTCCATCCTCCTCCCCACTGCCTCAGAGAGCACAACAATGTCACTATCGCATTTCTGGAGGAAGGACAGAGATTAGTGCCATCTTCAGAGACTTAAGAATGCAGAAGGAGGGGCCTTTGTCATAACTCCATTGAACACACCAGTGCGGCCCCCGGCAAAAACCAAATTCATTGACGCATCGTGGCATTGGAGAACCATGAATTTAACACAGTGGGCTCCCAAAATGCGTCTTTTTTTTTTTTTTTTTTTTTTGAGACAGGGTCTCGCTGTGTCCAGACCACATAATCCTGGCTCACTGCAGCCCTGACCTCCCAGGCTTAATAGATCCTCCAGCCTCAGCTTCCTGAGTAGCTGGGACTACAGGTGCATGCTACCATGCTTGGCAAATTTTTGTATTTTTTGTAGAGATGGGGCCTCCTTATTGAACTCCTGGGCTCAAGTGATCCTCCTGCCTCATCCTCCTGAAATGCTGGGATTACCGGCCTGAGCAACTATGCCCGGCCCCCGAGTGCATATCTGAGGTATGGAGCATTTCTGCTGGAGCTGGGTAAGGTCATTGTGGATATATAGGATCCCAGGGCTACGTCAGTTTTCCTGTTCTCTATCACAACATAGTCTGCAGGGACCCGGCCCATGGGGGCAGCCTCCAGGCCGCCACATTGATCAGTGCCAGGAGAAACATGTTAACCAGAGCTACGGAGCAAGAAGAGCAGGTCCCTTGGGAGCTTTGGTAGAATATGTCGGGGAGAAGGATGGGGGGTAAAGGGGAAGGCTCAGGGGCTACCACACTGTCGGCGGTGGGGGGGGTGTTTGATGGGGCCTGGCCATGTCGTGCTATTTCCTGCAAAGTAAAGGGTGGTTACTGTGCCTGTCCTTCCCACCATGTGGACTTCTGGGGGCCACATGGCTTCTGGGGCTTCTTTGGGTTTGGGGATGGCATACTCAGCACTTGGGAATCTGATTTTGGCCCATTTCTTGGGCAACACTGGAGGCTGCTAGTTTGGAGCTGCAGTGATGTGACCAGCAGACCTTGTGCTACAAGGGGTGTCTGCAGAGAGGGTCACCATGTGGTGTCCCTGGCAGGCCCCGACAGGAAAGCCACAGTGCAGTCCCCGAGGGTACTGGAGCAACACCATGCCATCTGCAGCAGAGAAGGGCTCTGGACGTGTCCCGAAGCCCTGGGAGAAACAGAGCCTCTGACCAGGGGACATCAAGTGATCAAGTGGACGCAGCTTTTCACCATGAGCCAATGAGTCACCACATCACAAGACCAGTCACCGCATCATGAGGCACAGGCGGTACATCTGAGATTGGGCTCCCAGAGGTCCCCAAGGCAGGTGCTACGTGGTCCAGACCCCCTGCCTCTGGCACCAATGCCTCCCCTCAGCTGGCATCCTGGGGGCTTTCCTGTGACCAGCAGAGACATGCTGCAGTCTGGCTCCAGCCACACGTGTTCCTGTGAGCGGGACATGAATGGCAACTGCCCACAGCCCTCCCAGGTGGTCCTCGAAGACAGCAGCAGGTGGTACACCTGGTCCTCGACCTTGTGTGGAGAGAGAAGTGACTTCAGGAACAGATGCACATGGGCTCGTGGACACGGGCTTAGCTGGTGGGTCAGGGCTCTAGAAGAAGCAAGACTGGAAGTTCAGGCCGGGCATGATGGCTTAGGCCTATAATCCCAGGACTTTGGGAGGCTGAGGCGGGTGGATCACCTGAGGTCAGGAGTTCGAGACCGGCCTGGCCAATGTGGTGAACCCCCCCCCGTCTCTCTACTAAAAATACAAAAGTTAGCTGAGCGTGGTGGCTCACGCCTGTAATCCCAGCTACTTGGGAGGCTGAGGCAGGGGAATCGCTTGAACCGGTGAGGCAGAGGTTGCGGTGAGCTGAGATGGCGCCATTGCACTCCAGCCTGGGCGACAGAGCGAGACTCCGTCTCAAAACAACAACAACAAAAGATTGGAAGTTTAGGACAATAAGGGCTAGGGGAAAGGCATGTGTGTAGGCCGATGGGACAGGCATGAAGTGTGAAAATCTTTGTCTCAGATGAACACCCGGGAGTGTCCCGTGCAGAAGACATTGTACAAACGGACAGGATGAGCCAGCTGGCCTTCGTCCCTGGCTGCCACAGGGCTTGGGCAATGGGCTCGTGAGTGGAGCCGTCATGGTGGCAGAGAGAGCGGCTACTCATGGGCCCGAGAGCATGTGCCCCTGCTCATCCAGGCTGACACGGTTGCTGCCCCCTCTGCATGTCTGATCCGTCCACAACTGAGAGCAACGCTGAGCTCCCAGTCCTGTCTCATCCCCTTGAAGTGACTGGCCAGGCACTTGGTAGCAAGCTGACGTCATGGGACCCCTTCCACCCTGGAAAGGGCAGAGATTCACTCAGTTCCATCGACCCGATTCCAGGTGGCTTGCAGCTCCTACTTTTGGATCATTGCTAACCCCACTCTCTGAGGGCTCTCTCCCTAAGCTGTGTCAGAGATGACACAGGACCCTGAATGATATCACCCATGACCAGGGGACTCGCTCTGTGGGAAAGCAGCTGTGGCACTGGGCATGTGCCGTGAGATCCGCTGGCCCTCCTACAGATCATACCCTCCGGAATGCCAGCCTGTGCCGCCGTGGAATGGCCTCTGGAATCACAGCTTTGCAGTGACACCGGGTCACTATCCCTCGGGGTGCGATTTCTCCTTAAACTAAGTGATTGAAAGGCCGTCTGTCCACTTCAGACAGCATAAGGGCTAGGAGTAGTAGTGGCCCTG